GCAGCTGAGCAGCCACTTGGGAACAGGATCCAGTTGTTTAAGCATAAGTAACTTTTGAAATGCCCTGCAATACATCATACATTTGCATCGGGCTGACATTTGTGGTACGTGATACGTGACCTATAGAAAAATCATTGCTTTCTGGACCATCTGTGAGAGGCCAAACTGAATGGTGTAAGTCATCTAAAATGATATGTAAACAGTTGAATACTTCTTTTGGTAAGATGAATAGCTCTCCTTGTTCCCCTAACTGCTTTGGTTGTATCTGATTTAACTATGGTGAGAACTTAGACAACAACTCAAATGCATGTTTAGGTATTTTGATTTGAAACTGAATCTCTCCTTCAGTGCTCAATCTCCCTTTAAGACATACAGCAAGAATTAAACATCAACCTAAAACTACAGGACTGGAAGACTAAAATGGAAATAAAGAAAGATACAAAAAGAAGTCATCTGATACTAATGAAATACTTACTCTTGAGATCTGTAAATTAAGAAGCAGAAGATAAAACTCTACAGAATAGTTTCATGAAAGTTTGGGCCTGTCTGATACAATCCTTTTCTTCCTTTACATGACATTACAGGTTTGAATAATAAAGAAGCACATGCTATCATTGCACTTGGATTTCTCCAAGACATTTGGCAAGGACATCCAGCATAAGTTTTTAAGTAGACTGCATTTTAGCTGGGCAATAAAGTGATGATTTTATCATTTTCTGGTGAAGCTTGCATGTTTCAAAGGCTGATTTTTATAAAGGTGAAGGCAAGATATTATTATAAAGTGATCAAAATTACCTTGCTAAATGGTCTCAATGCACTAAAATCTGTTTTCATACATTTAGAGCAGAGGTAATAGTTCAGAGCGTCAATGATAAAGATGGTCTCAGCAGGAGGGAAAATCAGTCTTTCGAAGTAAAGAGCTGAGGAAAACTTGATATCGACACTTATGGCTAGCAGAAAATAAACTGTAATTTCAAAAATATTTCTGTGATCCTTTGGTATAGGAGAGGGTAGCAGAATAAGCAGATATTGACTGTACATACCATTAGTAAAATATATCTAATATGCCTACTTCAAACACAGTTATAACTAAAAAATGACTCAGGAGGCAGGAAAAAAAAAAAAAGAAACAGAAAAAAATCACATTAAAATAGAAGGTCAGGAGATTACTTGATCTATGTGCTTTGAAAGGCACTTGAACATGGAAGAGACACAAATAACTAAAAGCCTTTTCAGTCTTGTTTACAAATACATAAAATGAAAAGAGTGAAGTTAAATAAGTGCAGTTTTAAAAACAGATGCAGTTTCCTGGCAGTGACGGCAATTACCATGGGGATAAGGAAAGAATTATCCACCTTAAAGTGATTACCTCTAAAGAAAGTCTGGTATTGGTAAACAAAGATCTGTTTTAACACCAAGTTTCACCAAGACATGTTACTGTGCCTCTGTGTGTGGTTTGAGTTTGGATAAAGGTGGATATTGCAGCAAAACTCAAAATTTGTGAGTTTTGGAAACTCTGCTTGTTTCTCTCCTCCTGTGCTCATGGGAAGAAGAAAATTTCCTGCATTGTTTTCCATAAACTGATAATCCTTGAATTTCCTGATTAGAGCACTGACTGTAAGTGATGTCATCTTTTAGAACCTCAGCTGATCAGTTTCAATAAGTAAATAGAATCCGTTTCCCTGGTGCACAGCTATTACATGTGCCACTGTTCCTTTGGTTTTTTTTTTATTTCTATTGAGCATAAAAAATAATTTGGCCATAGCTGGTGATGATACATGAACCAGTGATGCCAGGTATGTGTCCTGACCACATTCTTGAGGGTTTAATAGGTGTCACATTCAGGAAAGGAAGATATTTTCTTACAGAGTAGGCTGACTTTTTTTTTTTCCTATCCATTCACCTACTGAATAAGACATAGTTCATCTCCCAGGATTATCAAAACAGTTCTTTATCATTGCAGGAATTAAGACAGTGACACCTTAGTCACTCTTGTTCCCTGCCAAACTGTGGTTAGGTCACCTGAGGACCGGTACAGTTTGTTCTAAGTGCAATCATTTGCTTCTCCATAAGGGGATCTGTGTGAAATTCAATGTCCTGTGAAAAATCAAAACAAAGGTTCTAATCAACCTTTGTGGCCCTCAACTTGGCAACAAAACAAACAAACAAACAAAAAAGTGTAAAAATGGATATAAGAATTATTTATGTCTAGCATGATTATTATTTGTTTGCCTTGTAACAGTGCTTGAACGACTGTGATTGACAGATGCTTTCCAGTACAACTCTTTATAGGTGTTCCTATGCATAGAAAAGATGTATAGTACAAAATATTTTTCATTTCTGCTAATAACAAAGGCATAACAAGATCCAGCAACTGGAAGCTAAAGTGTGTCCTTTTCTATCTTGAAATGGATATGAAGTTCCTAGCAGTGAGGTCAATTAAACATTGAACTAACTTACCAAGAGAAGTAGTAGACTCGCCAATATTTGGTATTTTTTTTGAAAATGAGATCAGATATGTTGCTAAATGACATGGTTTTCAATACAGTCTGCTGGGGAGACTTTGTGGTCTTGTCTCGTCTGTCCCTGGTGTTTGTGAGGTTTTTGCATTCCCTCATTCATTTTCCTCCTCCAAAGCCAGGTGAAGGCAGAGGAGGAGAGGATGGAACAACTGACAGCATTGTCCCCCCTTTCTCTCCTTGTGAAGAGGCGAGAAGTACTTTGTGAGTGTGTTTATGATATTGAGATCCCACCGGGACAGGTATCACTCAGTTGTACAGTAGGACCTTCTCCTGTAGAGCTTAGAATTTAAATGGACAGACAAAGGTGTGGGAGGAGAGTTACAGCTTAGAAAAGCCTTGGGCTGAAAGTGCCATTTTCAAGCCACCAATTGTTGTTTTTTAAGAGGCTTAGAAATTCTGTAGTGAGGGGATTTGCTAAGACATGAAAACAAAATACTCGGTTTGATCACAGAAATAACAAAGAGGGTGATAATATGAAGAGGGAGCAAGACCAAGTAAGCATGGAAGGCTTTTCAAAGTGAATGCTGCAGAGGCAGGGTAGGGGCAGACTTGCAAGGTCCAGCGTCTCCGGTTTTGTTAGCTGAAGCTTCCATCTGTGTGCATTAAATGTGTTCCCTTCTGAGCTCATACAGACAGTACTGATTAGGCCTTGAACCCCTGAAATGGGTAAAACTCCCCAGTGTGAGGAAGAGTGCTGTGATCCTCATCAGCTCCCTGCTTGGTTTCTCCAGCCACAGGATAGGCTTGAACAAGTCTTGCTAATAGTTGTCCCTACTCTTTGGTAAAATTGCTAAGCTTTGCAGATATGTATCTTGCTAGAGCTCATGCCTCGGCTTATTCAGTACCATGAACTGTGTTCAACACTTTTCACCTTTGTTTGCAGCAGAGTCTCTGGAAACTGTGTTGCCATGGAAATGTGATTTGCTTGTCTCTTCCAAGAGTGTGTGCTTGGGGAGAGTTAGCGAGCTGCAACTTTCTTTCTGACTAACAAATAGGCTTCCACACAGTACAGATGAAGCTACCAAAAAGTATTTTTTGTATGAAATCAATATGATTGAAGCAAGCAGCTGAAGTCACAATGGCCGGTTTCCAGACCATGGCTGGACTTGTCTACATCACTCAGGCATCAGGAGGGAACTGAAGATCCCTATTCCCTTTTGAAGACAATTACTCAGATACAGGAGTAGCACAGGCTTGTTGTTAGGAGCCTGAGTCTCATTTCACTGCTGCAGCAAATGAACTATTGTGAGGAAACCTGTACACAGTCAGGGAAATTCAAGCATGAGCTAAATGACAAATACGGATGGGGCTTCATTTGAGATCCAGTATAGAACCATCCTCTCAGGTCAGTGAGAAAGGGAAAGGTTTGATTCTGTAAGTGTTTTGAACATTAGAATTCTATTCATAAATTATGCTGGGGAATTTTAATGGGGGTCCTGTAGGATCCTTCCGGAACTAGTCAGCCTCCTTCCATTTAACTAGTCAACAAATCAACTGTGATGGTAGGGCAAAGCTATAAATTGGGTTCTATATAATCTTTGCAAAATTTTCCAAAAACTCTTCAGTCTGTTATTGGTGATGCAAACCTTCTGTTGCACATAAATTATTTTCATTTTTTCAGCTAACAACTCAGTAGTGGTTGTGAAATTTATTTTGCAGAATGCAGTATAGTTAGTTACCAGGACTGTTGGTGCCTGTAGACAGCTGAGTTTGTGTTTGGAGCTTCCTTTCTCAGCTTTTGATTCCTCTACAGTCTGTTATTTTAAATTCTTGACCTTTTAAGTTTGCAAGAATTCATCTTTTTTTAGCTTTCAAGCCTTTTTACTGTGATGTGAGAGGAACATCACAGTACACTTCCTTACAGGGAATCTCTCAGACAGTTTCTGAAAGGCTGAGTTTAAATTACTACTTTTGTCTCCCTGATAGCATTTGGGAGTTTTCCCTGGCAGCCATAAAATGCAGCATGATGCACAGCCACGTAGAATAAAAAATCCATATGTTTTCCATGAGGCTTTGTATTTTGCTCATGTTTGTCTTGCTTCTTAAATTGATTTTCACTTCTATTGCAAAAATCAATTGTTACATGTCATAATTCATACCGGTTTATGAATACTTTTGTATAATGAAGCTCTTTGAAGATGCAAAACCATTTTCTTCAGTTTGCTGTACCCCACTTCCATTTTTCTCTTTAACAGAAGGAACTTTTTTTTCAAACTCCTTTATTAATGCTTTTGTCAGCATCTCACATACATCTCCAGGTTAGGGCTACCTGTGTTACCCAGCTGCTGGGTGGCTGACTGTTACAAATTCAGGGATCTAAAACCCATGCACACAGAAACTGTCAAGCAGCGCACTCACCTCTCCATGTATTCTCCAAAATTTTGTTTTACTTGTGAAAGAGACAGTAAAAATTAGGCTGCTAATCTCCACCTTTGTTTTGGTTTTCTTCTACCACTAGGTTAGTTCTGCAGGACATGCCGGAGTTCTCCACATTCCTGATCAAAAGCACGTTGCTTTTAACACAACCATATTGCTGCTGCAGTCGTGGTGATGGAGGGGAGCCCTCTCTGTTGTGTGAGGTATGTGCATCAACATCCACTCCTCATTTCTCTCATCTTGACGGATAGCAGGGCCAAAAGTTGATCTGAACTGTGAGATGAAAATTAGCAGTTAATGTGACCATGGACATTGAGTCTACCATAAACTGTGCTGCTGGGCATGGGCAGAAAAATGAAAGCATGGTAAGAATTTGGCAGTAATTTTTTTCTCTGTCATCTGTAGGAGAAAAGTGACATCTTGAATGTGTTGTATATAAGAGACTGAACATGGATTAGGAATACTTTTTACTTAGAAGAATTCCTATACTCTATACCTAAAGGAGCGGCCAAAACAGAGTTAGAAAACTGTATTTTTCTCAGTTACTGACTGGGAAAACTCTTTGCTGAAGCTTGGCATTATCTAGAACTCTCCTTGGAAAATTTTAAGAAATGGTTCAGACTTTTGGCAAAGAGGTGTAACTGTCCCTAGGCTTCTGAGTGAAAAACAGAAAGAAACTATTATGCATTTTATTTGTTAGTATGTTAGTATGTTTGCAGAATCAACATATATGACAAAGTTATATTGTATAATTTCCATAAAATTAGTATGGATCTGCAAACACTGAGGAGACATTATAGCAGGTATTCACAAACAAGGTGGTTTTTCATCCCAGCAATTTTTCACTGTCAAATGGTTCAGACAAAGAGTGTGCATAGGAGGTTCAGTAAGAAATACCAGTGCAAGGAGTAGATTAGTTCCTGCTGTGTGTCTCAAAGAACTAACAGAAACTCCAGGGAAGCAAATGGAGTAATAAAGCCAAGAAAGCATAACTCAGTCATCAACATAACCTTAAAAAAAACCCCACACAAAAAAACCCTACAAAACTCCTACCTACGAATAAAACTTTTGTCCAAAGCACTCACTAGGCAGAGGCTTTAATTATAAGCCAAGAAGTTTCTTCTGACTGTAGATTTCTCCTGATCTTGAGGAAACTATACTTGTGAACAAACTGTATTTTATAAAGGAAATGTCTGATTTTTGCTCATGAAAGAAACAGTGTGCTAGATATCTTCCTTGAAGTCATCCCAATTACTGAGATCCAAAGCTCCAATTGCTTGAGTGAAAGCCTGCACTAGTTCTATGCCAAATTCAGAGAACTATAAAGATTCAGAGCTTCAGAAATGTCACTGAACTTGCCCAGTTTACCCTGCCAGAGAACCTGATCCACTCAGTCAGACACAAGCAGTGCCTTAAGAGAATGGGAAGAATTAATTCAGAACATAGATCAATGCTGCTTATTCAATTTTATCTGTTGTTTTTTTCCACCTTTTTCTGAGGCCAGAACATCAAGTTTCATCACTTCTGCTTCTTAAGGGAAAAGATGAACTTGCACTTAGAGACAGTGGGGAAGTTCTAATAGGAAATACTTTAAGGTGACAGCTATGGCTTCCCGAGTGGAGTAGCTGATAGCAGGTTATTCTATTACAGAGCAGAGGTAATTCTGGCACTAGTCCTAGTATTCCTGTTCCTGAGGCTGCCAGCTTGTGCCACAACATTACTTAGCAACCATATGAAATAACAGGAATGTAAAAGAGCAAACCAAGCTGACTCAAAATGATTGGGAGGGTGAGAAAATTCCTCAGTCGGCTCCAAGACACTCCGAAGGCCAATAGGAAGGATGCAAGAGGGATATGAAAGATGACTTGTGTTCTAGGGTTTCCCCAGCATGCAAAAAGCAGACTAGAGTTGACACTTCTGCACTTTTCTCCAAGTCCGTTTACAATAAATATTTAAAAGCAAGAAAAAATGTCCAAAAAACAAACCCTGAAGGAAAGAGATGGATTCATAATTCATTATAGGACTATATCTTGCACACACAAGATGAGTGTCCTGAATGTGAATTGACAGTTATATCTTGCCAAATGCAATGCACAGTTGTACAAGGGTGATACTGAAAAACATTTTGTGCTGAGTTTAGAAGAAAAGCTTTGTTTCTTTTAATAGTTAGTAAGATTTGCTTTGTTTCTTTGTTTTTCTCCTTATTTTTCTTCCTGGGTACACATCATTTTTTTTTCTTTCTCTTGTCAAAGACATCAGAATGTTCTTAAACTCAGCTGAGTGGCCTGTCCTATTGAAAATAAATTAAAAAACCAGAGCTTCACTCTTAGCCGAAGTAACTGTACTGCATGGAATTAAAACAATACTTCTTCAAAGAGTTTTCAATTCATAAGTCAGTTTCTTTTCCACTTTCTGGAGCATTTGTTTCTTTCTAGCTATTTGGAAATAGGATTTTTTTTTCTTCCTAAAGGGATTGTGCTTTGCACTATGGCAATGAATTACTGTCAGGTACCAACTTTCAAACTAGAATTTCCATGTCTAGACAACTTTTGGGCGGCTTTTTCCTTAAGTAAGTGTGAAATCTAATATAATCTGTCATCCAGTTCAAACCATCAAAATCAACAAGAGCAAAAAGGCAGTTAAATAATCCTTAGAGCATGCACAATGATGATAATAAATTCAGAGAGGACAACACCACTTCAGAGGAGATAAATCAAGTGTTCAACATAGAAACACCTGTGGAGATTCCCCTGCTAGAGCATTTTGGGGATTTAGGATGAGGATTAACGAAAGATCTCCTGAAACTGAGGTAACAGTACTGGTGGAAGGTTATCATGGTAAGTAGGAGCAGAATGAAACTAACAAATGACCAATGCTGGATAGTATTCACCCACAATTCCCAACAGTACTCAAGGTTGAAACAGATGTATCATGTATCTCATCTAACTCTTAGTATCTGAAGGGTTGAGAAGGGCAAATGCAGTGACAATCCTTAAAAAGAAATATTTCAGGGGAACCTGGGGAAGCACAGACCTGTAAACCTGCAAATTAATAAATACTGTGTCGACTCTGAATTAGCTGAGACCTGAATAAATGGAAATTACTTGGGAAGAATCAATATGATTTCCACAAAGGAAAGTCCTGTCTTATACACTTCTTTGAGTTCTTCTAAGAGCTCAAAACACTTGTGGATAAGGATAATATACTCATATATTCTGCTAGGATTCTCAAAAGGTTTTTTGCAATGTCTCGTTTAAAACACCTGTGGAGAAACTAAACAACAGAAAAGGCAGGTCCTTCCATGGGTAAATAAATGGTTAAAAAATAGGACAGAAGGTAGAAACAAATAACTAAATCTAACATACCTAACATACAGGAAAGTTGTCAGTGGTATTCCACAGAGACTGGGACTTGTAATGCTCAACATACTCTTGAGTGACCTGGAAAAGGTAGTGAGCAGTGAGGTGACCATGTTTGCACACAATAAAGGAATTCAAAGTTCAAGGCAGTAAGTATGAGGGCTGACTGTGAAGAATTGCAGCCTGGTCTTAAAAAATGACTGAGTAATAAAACAGCAGATGAAATCTAAAACAAATTAAAAAAAGTTAGCTCTTTGGTGATAAATACAAAGTAATGTATGTTGGGGAAAATAAAACTTGCTCCACACATAAAATATTCGGGTCTGTGCTGCCTGGTGCCATTGGAATAAGTCTTTGTGTTTTTGACAGATGAAAATATCATCTCAGTGCTTGCTAGGAGTGAAAAAATGAATCATATATTTGACGCTACAAGGAAAGGAATAAAGAAATAACAAAGAGCATAATTATTCCACTGCACAAAGCCACAGTTTACGCACACCCCAGTTAATGTGTGCAGTTCTAATCTCCTTAAAAATGACACAGAAAAACTAGCAAAGGTTCACAGAAGACCAGTAATTATGATATGGAATAACTTCCTTAGAAGGGCTAAGAAATTACTCTGGAAGAAATAAGACAAAAAGAAGGCCTGATGTAGAGACTGTGGAATTGGCTGCTCACTGTTTCTTCCAATACAAGAACTAGGTGCCATCAGACGAAGATGACAGGATGGAGGCTCAGGATGAATAAGAGGTGCTCCTTCACACTGTGAAGGCAGACCAGTGGGATGGTGTGCCAGGAGAATTTTGGAGGCAGAACATTTACACGTGTTCGGAACAGACTGGACAAGCATTTTGACAGGAGATCCAGTAAATGTTATCAAACAGACATACTGCATCAGACTCAGAAAATCCTCTGAGCTGAAAATATGCAGAAGCCAGGAGACTATTAAGGGGAAAGTATAATATATGTTCATAACCTGCCATCTGCTTACAGGCACTGTAGGATACAGAATATTGTCTCCTACAGAATACTGATGCTTGATCTGAGCTGTATGACCACATATGTTCACACATGCTGCTAATATGGACCCACAGGTGATAACGTAGATGGGGGCAAGATTAGACGCAGCTTGCAGCTATCAGCATAACAGTAACTGGGATATTTGTCTCTCAAGTCAAAAGAAAATATTGACATGCTTTGGATAATGGTTTACGTACCTGGCTGTAGCAAGATTTGGTTGGAAACATTAGATGGTTTTGGAAGCCCTCATCGTTATATAGTTTCGTGGCTCCACTTTGCTGAATGCATTCAGTTATGACAGGCTGAACTCATCTCACCTATCTGTAGCAATCTGGAAGTGTTTATTCTGAACTGTCACCCAGATTTGCAGGGTGAGAAATGGGAACTCCAGAGTGTGAGTCATTCCATCTTAAAATACATGTTGAAGAACTCAGAAGAAAAGGAAAGTCTTTTCAAGTTAAAAAAAACCCAACAGACAACAAATACCCTATACAAATTACATTTCTATCCTCCTCTAGCTAATAATAATTCTGAATAGAGAATTCAAAGTCACATATACTGCATAAAGTCAGGTAATTACTGTAGATCATCTGAAGGAAATAATGAAACCAAAAGATTTTCTGGCTGCTAATGATTTGGCCATCTGGCTTGAAAAGTGCTCTTTGTCTTTGTGTAGGTATATCAGGGACCTAAATACCAGCAACAGGAAAGCAGTTCTTGAGCTATGTAGCAAACAGTAGCTACCCAATAGTGAAGTTCTAGTGCATTATTTTCTGCAGATGTTCACAATAATTACAAAGATCTTAAAATCTAAACTTGATTTTCAACACATTTGAAAATGAGATTTAGGCAAGTGAACAAAGTATTTCTGCACATATTTGAGTCCCAGTGAACCTGAACTAAATAAGCAAGCAAAGTGTGTTGCTCACTTGTGGCTTAAAACTTCAGGGACATAGCACAAGGTGAGAATGTAAACTCAGCATTCCCAGCCATTTTATTGCTCACAAATAGAGTGTAATAACATTTATAGTGCACTGCATTTATGGCAGAATATTGATGTCACTGTAGCTAAATATTTGTGATCTCTTCTCTTACATAATGAACACTCTTTTTGAGGGGTTACAATCCATTTTTGATGTTCTATCCCAGTTTACAGCCTGACATCCAATGATTTAGCAGAGAAGACAGCTTGTAAACGCTGCTTACCTTTTCATTTATTTGTAAGCCTTAAGTGTAGCATCAATTTAAGAGGATATGATTTCCTTGGAAACTTTTCATTAGCAGGGGAAGTGAACAGGAAAGTGGAGAAGATAATTGCTCAGGTATGGTTAAAGCCTTTTTAGTGAAACTTCTCTGCACTTACAGTTTGTAATTATTAGTCTTTCACCAAATTGACTGAATGTTTCACCACGACTTGTAAATGTTCCAGTACAGCTGGCACTAAAGCTCTACAGTACCATTGCATTTCTCACTGGTGAGGTTTGAAAGTTTATTCAGATAAGGGCTAGACTGCGATAACAATAATAACCACAGCAGTGGCTATTAGTAGCAGTAACAAATACAATATTATTATTTTACCACTGCTATAAGGGGAACTGAAACAGTGATATAACAGCCTGAATGTTTTTTTAATTATTATATTTACACAAATGACAATGATATTTTTACCTCTGCAATTGCATTTCTCCATGTTAATTTCTTTTTTAAACACCAGTTGCTTTTGGTAGTTATGACATGTCAAACTAAACGACCTCCAAACGCATGCAGGAGAAATGATGTTGCTTTTACTTTGGATGGGGATAATGTTATTTCTTGAAAGAAAGAAATAGAAAATATGCAATTAATGCAGTTTCATGTGCCTCAATATGAATATCTTGGGGTTTTTCTGTTTGTTTTGGGTTTGTTTTGGTTTTTTGTTTTTTTTTTTTCCAGAAGCTGTTTTCAGATGGGAAGAAGACTTCTGTCTTAAGCGCAGTTCCTGTTGTTAGAGGTGGAACCTTAGTAGTAAGTATCTGGTAATATATCATTAGAAGTTGACTATAAGCTTAAAATCTAGAGGATGGATCAGATATCTCTACATAGACATAATAAGGCATTACACGCCTTGCAGTACCCCACTTAGACTCCAGGTACAAATTTAGGACACCATCATCTCATAAGATGTGTGCTATCACTGTGCAGACGTCTGCTACAGCCTTAAAAATCAAATACCACACTAGATGCCCAGGTAACCATACGAGCTGTTTTCCAGCATTTGATGAAAGGTGTTGTAGTAGTATGAGGTGCACACATGAAACCCTTTGCTGAGCCAGTGAACAACACTCACTTGGCAAGTTATTGCCGTTTTGTTTTCAGGCAGGCAGTCCAGAAGCAAAGGTAACGGTCAAAAAAGTGAAACTTTCACAGTGGCTGCCTGACTTGTCTGCAAGTCAATTAAGAGAAGTGTGTAGAAACTGTAATATGGCTTTTTCTGTGGAAGAGGTAGCATTTTTTCTAATTTAATTCAGACACATACTGAAATTCAGTGTTCAGTCACAAAAGGGTCAATAGGCCAAGAAAAGAGCTCAATCTAAAAATAGATTTTCTTGCATTTCAATCTCAAGCAGCTTCTCTTGAATTTGTGGATTTCTAGACTCTTAGCAATCAATGCTTGCATAGATTTTTATGAGATATTAGCACAGATATCACAGATAACAGAACAAATTGATTGTGAATGGAAAGCAGTCATCAAAACACTAATGAAAAATTCTCTAGTCCTGCTGCTGTAAAATTTAATTCTGAATATTTATGTAAGCATCATCAAATACAAGATGAGAGCAAGTCCCACAGATGCAAAGCTCACTGTAAAGGTCCATATGAACCAGCTCTGCTGAGCAAATACATTCTGCTTTTAAAAAGTCAGCAACAAAACCTGACATATGGAAAATCCATGTGACTCAACATTTGCTCAGAAAAGAGAAGAACTACACATGGCAGCTAGTTTCCCAGGCAACTCTGAGTCTCTGGGAATATATCTTAAAGAATGATTTTTCTCAAAGTCTTTTTCAGGAGCAAGCTATTGTTATGCAATAGTAAGTTACAGAATGCTTTTTTGCTTGAGTTAAATTAGATAATTTCTGCAGTCTCTTCCCAAGTGCTTCCCAGATGTTTCCCAAATGAATTAGATGAGAATAAGTTCCTTACGGGTTTCACAGATTCTTCTGGCTTTTCCAAATTTTTTAGTAGTTTTTTATATCAGTTTGTCCAGATTTGGTAGGGTAAGACCAACCTCCTCCCATCATTTATCCCCTTTTGTATTTATGATTGGAAGTGACTGTTTTCTAGGGGTTTTTTTGCCTTCCCCAGAAAACATATCTTGCAGAAGTCTCTGATGGTGATGACACTGAGTTAGTCATACTTCTGTTAGAATCTGTTTCAGAAGATCCTCTGAGAATATTTCGTCTCACCACTCCAGTGTGATCATGTTTTTCCCAGAGGAAAATATATGAATAAGCATTGGGGAAAAAAAAAAAACCAACTCACTGGAAGAAAGAGTCATTGCTGCTTAAGCCCAGGGAGGAAGATGCTCTGACAGATGAGAATATGTGCTTTTAAAGTTTAATTTTCTTGGCAAAAGTTTCCTTGAAAGCTGTCCTCTTTTCCCTTTTATTGTTGAGCATGACATTATGTGGAATATGTCTTTGGTTAGTTTGGATGATCTGCCCAGTTGGGTCTCCTCACAGCCTCTTGCACACCCCCTAATCTATTCACCGGGGAGGCAGAGGGAAGGTCTTGATGCTGTGCAAACACTGTTCAGCAAAAACTAGAACATTAGTGTGTTACCAGCACTGTTTTGGCCAAAAATCTGAAACAGGGCACCATATGAAGAAAACTAAATAGTGGTAAAAAATTAATTAGTAGAAAACTAATAAGTAGCCAGGCCCATTACAACTTCTACAACAAGTAGAAGGCTTGTTTAAGCAAGAAAGAATAGCATATATCTCATTGCCAGGATGTCTGTTCCTGTAAAGTCACATAAGCTATTCTGCATTTAAGTGGTTCATAAGCAACTGGATCATTTTTTCCCAGGTGTAGGTTGGCAGGACATGTATAGGTATTTTTAAATGAGTTTGGCATTCCAATTTTTTTTTTGACTTAGCATCTTACAGGCAAGCCCCCTACAAGGGTGACTGCAAAGAATGTTCATAGAAAATGTGATTAAGTACACCTTAGTTCAGTAAAAAATAGATTATTTTTCCATTACTGAAAATTGCTCTTATTTTGGGGATTTCTCCAATCAAAGGCACAGAAGTTAATAAAATAGTTACAATTTTGAGTAGTCAAAATAAATGCTTGCAAACTAGCACTGGGACAATAATTCCTCTCATGAACCATTTGTAGAAATAGCCATAAAGAATTCATACATTTGAAAAATGAAAGGGAACAGCAATTTTTGTGGGCTTTGTGAGGGATAAATTAACATTTTTATGGTGTTATATATCTTCTACATAGAATTTTCTCAAGGCTGCCAGAGCGAGTCTCTTGGTATAGTAAAATTAAAGGATAGTTGCTTTCTTTTCCATTAAAAGAAAACAAACAAAATAAATGGAAAAAGATGTTTTATTTTCTGCTTAAATGCATTCTCATTTTAGCATAGCCTATCGAGATTGATTACTTCATAAGCAGCATCATGTTTGTAAAGACTGAATCATGACTACTTGCTCTCCAATATATCTGACCTGATAATACACTGAAACAATCTTTTCCTTTATATGAAATAGCTTAACGTTTGCTGTGTCGACAAATATATGTCTGGGTAGTAGATACTTAGATGGGTTTTCTTCAAGAAAATGCATTTTTGAAGTACATCTATAAATGAGACAGTATTCCTTTTACCTTTGTTTTTTAATTTTTCATAAAATGGTTGATAGTCTTCAAGCCATTAATATAGCAATTTTTCTATTCAGGTTGCTATATTCTTCAGTTAAAAAATGTTAAAGTGCCCAGCAATTAAATGTGGCAGAAGTAACTGGACGTAGATCTTCCTTGGCACCCGCCTAACAACACAGAAGGATTAGACCACAGGCAATGGCTGCTGCTGTTAAAAGTGGATTAAGGTGTTGCTGTCCCATACATTTCTTACCTGTTTTCTGTTGACAGTCACAGCTGAGAACAAGCTGAGACTGGCGTACTTGGCCTGTGTCTTTCATCCAGTTCATTCAGTTTAACCTGTGTTTTCTATGAAATTGTTTCAGATATCTGAAAGAGGGACAGCAGCAAATAGCTGAATGCCACTGATACCTGGAACTGACTCTGGTGTTAATACAGAAGTTGGATAATTATGCCATTTCACTTCTCTTAGTCCTGACCACTGAGTTTAAGACACAGAGTTTATGTCTCCATCCACACCAAAGAATCAAGGTTGCAGTATTCATTAGTGGGATGTGTAGAGATTAAATTACCCCAGCAAGGTCAAGGGAAACAATTTCCCCACTGTCCTCCATCAAGTCAGAAAAGACCAAGATGTCATGCTTCTTGAAATCTCTTCCCTTGCCTTGCCTTGCTTTGCCTCATCTCCCCTCCTATCCTTTTCCCTTCCCTGTGTTTTCTTTTAAAGTCCTTGTTGCATCAGCTATAAAACATAATTAGTCAGTCATAAACGAATGTATAAGATAGCTTTGCATGTGTTCAGTGCATTGCCCATGTGCAACATTCTATTTTCAATTTTTTTTTCTTAGATCATCTAAAAGCAGCAGGGTCCAATGGACTCAGGTTACATATATTTTACAGAAACAGGGCACATATGTGATTATTGGAAGAAAAAAAATGTTTTGAAGTAATTGCCTACAAAAAAAAGCACAGGGGCTTGAATTTCTTGCATAAATAGCTCAGATCTCTTCAGCACTCCTGTGATTTACAGTAATGTAGTGCTACTAGCTTTCAGTATACAAACAAGTATACAAGATGGCAATAAATTTAAGTCCTCCTAAGTTTGTTCTTTTAACATGTGAATATGAAGAAGCACAAACACGAATAAAACTGACAGTACCTGATAGTCTGCATTAAGAATGATACCTCTACCTTCCATGAAGTTGCTATTTCCATTTCCAGTGACATTGCTTATGTTGAGACAAAGTCAGTCAGTACAACCATCGCTTTGATGGGGCCCTGGCTACGCCAGCTCTTCTACTTGCCCAAACTTGCAAACTTCCCATCAAGTGCGGAGGTCTTTAACAATCTCTAAGGCAGTATGATCACATATCGTCCTTCTGAGAGAGTCATCTTCTGGGCTGTGATTTTGTTACCAGAATCAAGGCTGCTACAATCAGGTGGTTGTCGTAATGCACTGCAGCAAAAGTTGTTATAAGATGTACAGACAGACTTTTCACCACAAGATACTCTTTGATCTCATGTGCAAGAAAGAAGAAATAATTGTTAATTCAGCTACAACATTTTAAAGTGCTCAACAAAACTAACTATATTCTACCTGTGCTATAGAGATTTTTCTGTGTAAAGAACAAACATAAGGAGAAGGAAACATGCAGAATTAATTGTTATTATTTTTATCTAAACAGGTGCCATTTACGCTTAAAAAGTGACACTTGCATGAAGATGTATATGTGTGTTCTCAGCTAATGAAGTTTAACCATTTCACTTTGATTATGCATGTTATTGTCCTTCAGAAGAAAACATCAACATTGGTGTTTATGACTTACACACTTACCGAATAATGAAAGCATACTGCATCTTCATAAAACATTTTCTTCAACGAGCTGGCACCAGGAATGGTTTAGAAGAACCCAAAATAGAGGTGTCATTGGCTACGTGTGAAGGAACACATGCTGGAAAAGATCAAATAGTTCCCATTAAAAGGTATATGACTTTACAGCTTAGATGTACTACATGTCAAAATTAAGTAAAGGAAACACTTAGACCACCTCATCCCCCAAGGGAATGAGAATGAGGTTTAATCTTTTTATTTTAAAAATATCAAAGAGCTACTGTTAAGACAAATACAGCACGAACCTCAGACACACTAATCACAAAATAACCCCACAACCATTTTCTAGAAATGAAAATAAAAATACAAATCTGGAAATATTCTGCTGAGAGATGAATTTTCAAAATATGCCATTTTTCCTTCAAAAGTGATCTCACTTGTGACACATTAGTAACATGTAGCATCTCTTGTGTGTTATGGGAATGGTCTCCTAATTAGGTTTGTCATTAAAATTCATTTAAAACCATTTTGTTCTTGATATTTCTTAATTATTCCAATGGTACATTCAGATGCCTCCAGATGGCTTGAAGCAGGATAAATAGCACTGAGAAACTTCCCTAATAGCATCCTACTCTGATCGCTATTATCATTCATGCAATATCCAGTCTCTCTGTATTAATTTCAACATAATTAAGTAACAAAAGGCAAGAAATTCCTTTGGTGATGTTTTGGTTTTGGAAGAAGTATCTGCAACTGCAAAGATGTGCAGTCAGAAACATTGGCAATATCAAAGTCTGAATAGGGAAAGAAATTTCCACAGGAAGATTTTGAAATGAGCTTCCAATACATGCAGATGGCCTGATTACTTATTGCCATATTCACATTGAAAATTTAAAACTTTCTTTCAAAAAAAAAATATTCAACTAACTTGCTCAATGACAATTGTATTGACATATTGAGCCAGAGTCTGTCAGGCCCATCAGTGTCAAGCACTTCCCAACACTTACCTTAAGAAAGCTGCATCTTAACTTAAATAAAATAAAAAAACCCTGCAGATAAAAACTAAGTCCAGTCTGGGACTTTCCTAGTGCCCGCTGGTGACTTCATCCTGGGAGCCTGACACTCGTATATATGGTATATATTTTCTTATTATCTTTTCTTTTTATCAGTAATATTTCATTAAAGTGGTCTTAGTTTTCTTTTCAACCCATAATTCTCACCCTTATTTTCTCTCCCTTCTCTTCGGGGAAGGAAGAGAGAGAGGTAAAGAGAACATCTGTCATTCGTACAGTGGACAGCCCAGCCCAAACCGTGACACATTGTTAATGTTGCCACAGTTATTTTAAACAACACAAACATTTCATTTTCTACATATTATTCATCTGTTAAGGGCACAGGCCCATTTTTTCTGACATTTATTTCAAGAATTTAATAAAAATAAATAAATAAATAGATAAAAATACAATAAAAGTCTTCTGAAAAAAATAGAATAATAGGGACAGAAACAGTTCTCAGTAATTTTAACAACCAGATGAAATAGAACTGCTGATGTGGAACAAGACCCATATCAAATAAAAATAAAAAATAAAAAAGAGAAAGAAAAAGAAATCCTATTAATCCTGGTTCTGAATTTTTCTATTTTTTTTATGAAATTCAATTTGTTTACAGCCTATGTGGCCAAAGTTACATTTTCAGAATTTCAGAGTAATATCTGCTTTAGCGAAAAAGAACAAAGAAGGTGAAAATTAATCAGTGGTGGAAGACACAGAACATAGTGCATATACAGTTAACAACTGTCTGACTGCCTACACATTTGGGGTCATTCTGACCATCTCAAAACCCAAAGCAGAATTATGCTGTGCTCTTCTCTGGTGGGTCAGGAAGCCCCAGAGGAATCTGCAGGCAAAGAGTTTTCTTTTTGGCATTCTCTGCTTCGAAATGTTCAGCAATACACCCGAGACTTACCAGATAGTAAGGAGACAGGTATTAGGTGGTATTAAGGCATGAACCAGAGGTAGACTGTATTCCTCTAAGAAGTTTTAAATAGTGGCTTTTCACAGAAAACTTTAGAATAAAATTACGTTTCAAACAGGTTTTGTTTTTATTAGTTGACATGAAGGCTTCAGGATGTGATATCTTTCCTACCACATAAGGCATAGATCTTACACAAAAAAACCAAGCTTTGATAAAGAGCTGCTTATTCCACTATATCTCAACTGGATTACTTTTTTTTTTAGCAAAGACTATTACTGATAGTCTTTTTTCAGGAAGGGCTACTGAGACATAAACATGTCCTCAGGATTAATGGCAAGTTAGAAGAAGTCCCTGAATTCTGGAGCATGTTATGTCAGCACAACAACACTGACAAATTTACTCCATTCACGTATAATTTAACATTCTGCTAGCCTTTCTCCAACCGTCTAGAATCACAACTGATCTTCTGGGACAGTGGGGAGTAAAAAATGGCTCCTCACCTGTCTGAAACAGAACATTACACCTGGGAAAGAAGGTCAACAGGGTAACAGGTACTTGAACTAAACAGGCGGCAACCCATTCACCCTTTTCAAAATTGAGCACCTTCTCTCAGAAAGCCACTGTCAGCCTCCTGATTTCTAAATATATCAAGTCTGCTGCAAAGCAGAAGAGCTAAAGCCAGCTGAAAAGTCTAGAAATTTGTAAAGAGGGTGAATCAAAAATTTTCAGGAAAAGAGGGGGGAAAATACATTGAAAATATCTGGACTTTTTTGCAGTTACTTCTTTTGAAAACTAAAAATGTTACCTGAATCTGCTTTCTTTTGTGAGGGATTCTGTTTCAGGTGATATAGCAGGGTACTAATAGAGAATTAATGAGGCTTAGTTAACCAACTAAACCATGCCAATCATTCCTCAGCTTCTAGAAGGCTAAACATAAACAAGAACCATAAGAAAGGACACCTAATTAGTCAAACATAATTCTGACAGTCGGTTGCTAATGTAACTATGCAGGCCAAAGTTTGTTATCCAGTTTGTCTCCCAAAAATGTGTTGTGCCAGTAAAGGAAATCAAAGAGGACAGATACCTTTGGTTTTTACGTCTTTTTTTTTTTTTTTTTTCCCTTTTAGTTATTTGAAACTTTTAAATCCAGTTTGTCTCCCAAAAATGTGTTGTGCCAGTAAAGGAAATCAAAGAGGACAGATTCCTTTGGTTTTTACTTCTTTTTTTTTTTTTTTTCCCCTTTAGTTATTTGAAACTTGTAAATACTGCAGACTTGAATAGCTCTACTTAAACAGGCCTGGTGGGGAGAGAATGACAAACAAAATAACAGTAAGCTCAGGGTTATTTTTAAGGCTGCTTTTGGAAACCATTACCTTGCGTTTGCTGCTCCGACATGTGTTTCCATGGAAGCAGGACTAGGCATGGACACAGCCACTAGCAGATGAGGCAATTTCAGCTGCCAGTTTCTGGTTCTCAGCTCTGTTTCCATGGCAACCAGTGCTGGAGCCCTGAAAAGGAGGTGAGGTATTTAAAACACTGCAGTACTCTTAATAAATATCTGCTTGCTATGCATGTACACCATAGACCCTTTACATCTCCAATTACAAAAGTGCTGCTCAAAGAAGCAGTGAAAATACATCTTGATATCAACTACTACTATTTCCCTGGGCAGGTTTCAAAGAGAAAGAATGGATAGTTCCTAAGAGCTGGTTTCATCCTAACGTCTGAGAGTGAGGAGGGAGGGCTGTGTTCTTCTTTCAGTATGAAGATGGGGATAGACAAAGATACTGTGCTAAATATAAGCTATTGTTTCTCAAGGAAAACATAATCTCTTGCTACATTCGGTGTCATTTTGCTACACAAAGGAACCAAAGCCCTCTTGAAAGAGTGACAGCGTGGCAGACAGGAGACTGAACAACTGAAGAAGACGGCACTCAGAGTGCACAGAAACGTTGGGACAGCAACCACCCTTTTCCTGGGTTAAATCTCTCGTGCTTTTTGACTAGCTACATACATTTTTGGTCTTGTGTATAGGTAGGGTAAACAAGGCCCATCCTCCTCTACCTGCAGTCTTTGAGGGAAGGGTAGAGTGGCATCAGTTCCCATGTCAGCAGCTACATGGAAAAAAAGACAGCTGTAGACCAGTAATCCCAACCAGTACACCTTCCTAATCCAGCCTGTGGTTTGAGCCTTCTCCCTTCCCTTATACAAAGCACTTGAGCTAGACAGAATCCACCAAAGGAGGGGGAAAAGCCAAATCTGTTTATATTGTTAAAAAGAGAAGCTTCAATAGAACACCCTCTATCCCCTCCACCAGGGGAGGTGGATTTGTGTGTGTAAATTGCTATACAAAAGCGGTAATACATGTTGTGCAGAGGTAGTGCTGTTCCTGTCTCGGAAAACTGAAAAGCCAAAGGGTACATACCATTCCTGGTGCAACTTGCTACAAAAGGGGGGGAAAAAAATGTTGACGTTGAATAAATGTCACCAAGCCTACAGTACTGCAGAAACAACATGATTTACACTATATACTGCATACTTCAAGAGGAAATGCTAGACACTTGTCTCAGTGAGGAAGCAGAGAATAAGCAGACAACTAATAAAATCAGAACAAAAAGCCTAAAAGCAAATATTAAAACCAGATTACCAAAAGACAGCATAAAATTTGGTACTGAAGTTCAGAGCAAAGCAGTGTTTATGCTCCTCTGCCTTCCAGAGGTACATAATACAAGGGTGACACAATACAAGGGCAATGGAATTAAGAGAAGCTTGTCCATGGTTTCTCACATTGTGAAAACTTCGTTTTCAAACTTCATTGATATAAATCAAACCTACCTACGTGACTCTTGCACGAAGAAAGATGTTCAGATAGGTCCACAACTTCATGAACTCATGAAGTTTTTGATTTAGTCTATTATAGATATGCACAAAATATTCAATAGTCTTAACAAAGCAATTTGTTAGGGAACCGTGTTCAGTTAATAAAAATGTTTGGTTTCTTGGGAAAATATATACATAAATACAAAACCAAAATATTATTCAAAGAAATCAACACATACAGGCAAAACTGAGATTAAGGATGAATTTCTCTTATTCCCACTTGAAAATTGCTCTTAATGCATTTAGAGCTGTCTGGCTTCAATCTCAGAAGAAGAAGCTGGTAAACCTGCAAAGAGGTAACTGTTGCACCTACCACAGGAACTCAGGTCTTTAATAGTGGTAAGAAAACCTACATTGGCTCAGAAGCACCAATAGGGACTGACACCACCTAAGAAACATCAAAGCATGAAAAGTATTAGCAATGTTAAAGATGTATTACTTGATTTGTCCAAGAAACAGCAATTCACTGATTGTGTTTATATATCTCTGTATAAATGACCGTCCTGACCCTTGCCAGTCTCTCCCACATCTTTTAGTAGCCATCATTGAGTTTGAACTCCCATGAAGACTGCCATAGCCTTC